GCCCGGAAAATAAATAAATGCCATCGAATAAACAAAGAAAGGACAGCGATTGGGTATAGTGGCGGCTCCTATGGCACAGATAAGGAAGCTTATAAATTGAAGTCGAGTGGACAGTGATTGCAAAAATTAATGGGGCATATATACGTTGTCCCCGACAAAAATAAGGAACTCTTTTGGGTCTAATAAAGTTTAAGAAAAAGGAGCATTAGCAGGAAACAAAGTGTAGGCTTAAAGTTCGACCAAATAAATATAATATAAATAAGATACTATAAATGCTTCTTTGATAAATACTCTTAAGAACAAAAAATCAATTAATATTGTTTACTATATATTTAAAAACAGCTTTCTGTATTGCTTATTAATCAAGGATAAAGAACGACCTTTATAAATCAGGGTCAACTTTTAATAAAGTGCCTCTTTCTTGACTGAGTTAGAAAACTCTGATTTCCCAGCTCATGTCCTTCCCAGAGTCCCCACACATTTTACATATTCCAGCTCGTTAATAACTTTCCATGTTGTGAAGGAACAGCGTCCTTGCTTGTTCTTGTAAATAAACTTTTGCGAAAATGTTTTCGCAGTATGCAAAAACTTTTCAATTGTGGAAATCGCTCCTTGGGCGCACCACGCGTGCAGGTCGAAGCTGGGATTGCGGAAATGATTTAAGAACTTCATAAATAGTGATGAAATGGAGTAATAAATGTGAATTGCAGGTCTCTCCCTTTACAATAAACCGCGAAAGAACTATTGACAGCTGCGGGAGCAGTACTGCGTTCAGCGGGTGTAAAGCAATATAAGTCCCGCTGAGATGCGAATCAAAAGGAGTGCTGGTTCGAACCTTTCAATGCTTCCATTCAAAAGGGGATTTAATAAATACAATCTTCACAATGGAAAATGAATGTTTTTTCCGTCATCGAAATGGTTCAGCTTCTTCTCTCTTTGCCCTTTTTCTTCTCCTTCAGCTCATTTAAGAAATATTTAATTTCCAGCAAATGAATTATAAATGCAATTTGCCCCATTGCGCAGCAGGGAGCTCTATTTCATGTTTTGCTCCCGCTTTCCTTCCTTATGATGCGTCTTTGTCCTCTGATGGCCTATGCAGAAAATTAATTACGCCGCTGAAAGTTGATTCCCGTTCGCAGTCTACAGTCTGCAAACGCGGATGCGGCTGTGGATGCGGCTGCGGATGAGGATCCGGAAGCCCTTGTGCCAATGCGACCACAACTGACCCAGTTGTTTAATTGAATTGAAGCCATAAACACTTGGAGAGAGCCACGCCACAGCCGCACAAAACCAAAGTGAGCTCGAGTCGGGAATGAAAAATGGCCACGGCCAGGAGCACTCGTTAAATAACTTTAATTAGTAGTGCGAGTGCGGCCATCAATCACCTTTAAGCGAGAGCGAGAGCGAGAGCGATGGAGGGAGCTAGTGCGAGCGGAAACGGAAACGGCGGCGGAAACGCCAGCGGAAGCCACGTGGCCATTGCTAAGCATTTTGACAGCTGAGCCTGTCGCTTATGCAACAAAACACACACACTCGCGAACACTGGCGGAAAATTTGGCACCTAAAATGGTGGATTTAGTTAACAATTTAAAAGCTTAATTGCAAGTAACAAATAAAGAGTAAGAAACCTTAAATTTTATAAACAATTTTCTTAAAAAATTGATATTGTAACTATAAATTAGTACTTCAGAATTAAATTACTTAGGAAATTTTTAAGCTGAATTTTTTCAAAACGTTAAAGTGCTTACATTTGAAGAGAAGGAGCGACTTTGTGCTGACTTTGATATTTTATCTGATTTGGATATGTAACCAATCTATTGTTTTTTCCTGTATTTTTTGTCAGTAAAAACATAGAACCATGAAAATGGAATACCATTTTTAATCCTCACAATATTTTTTTTTTTTGACACTACCAAAAGAATATGAGAACATGAAAAATAACAGAACTTTGTAAAAAAAAGTTTAAAAGGAACACTATACTATCCCGCCAGTTAGAATTTCAGGAGTATTTTTTTAAGAAAATGTTCACCAATAAAATTGATGAGAGTTTTGTATATCAAACAATGTTCAAAGTTTTACCAATTAGAAATCTGATTCTAGATTTCAGCAATAAATAAAAGCTTTAAGTATTTTTTGAAGGTTTTAGTGTTATTACTTATTAGAAGTTTCCTCTTTCATCGCATTTATTAGAAGTTTCTAAAGTAAAATACAACCATGTCAAAACCAAAAATTTTTGGAAAATAACTTTTAGTGTGTCGCCTGTGCATACATGCACCGTGCTATGTACCAAAAAATTAAGGAAATACGAGAAAGCAAGGAATTAATCAAATTGCAAATTTCATCAGCGTGGCGAAAAAACAAGCGCAGATGCGAAGCTTCCAGCGACAGCCAGCAAAAGTTGTTGACATCTTCTGAGCCAACACGTAGCGCCAGCAACAAGAACACACACAAAAAGTAGTAAACACTTGACGGGAGCGTCGGCAGGCGGCAAGAACAACACGGACCAACAGCTCAGCAGCCACTACTGCTGCCAAAAGAGAAGAAAGGACCACCGGGGCTACAGCAAATGTTTGCTTAAAAATGATGCGAGTTGCCGCCACCCTCACCCCTCAACCCTCCACCGAGGAGGAGGAGGAGAAATTGGATGGTAGGGATGGTATGCCTTAGGATGGGGGGCAGATGCTTCTTTCTGCTCCTGACAGATGCAAGACGCGTTGACAGTGACAGAGACAATGATGACGACGATGGTTATGTTGGGGATCATCATGAGGCCGGGATGAGGTTGCCCATGGTGGTTCGGTGTGGTGTGGAGGCCAACATTCGGCATAATCCCGCTGACAAAATGTCATTACACCATCTACATAGTACATAGTGAAGTTGCCTTTTGAAGTTTTCCGACTTTTCCGAGTTTTTTAAGTGGGATGTGGGGGGGAGACGGGGCCGAAATGCAAGCTGAACGGGTCGCCTCTTAAATAAATAAATACGCAATGCGTTGACTGACTGGCACAGTTGGTGTATTTCCATATTAAGTGAAAATAAGTTTTAAGGAAATATTTGTGCAAATTAGACTGTCAGTTAAATAACCTATGAAAAGTCCTTGATGTCATTTCATGAAATGTGACTTCAGGTGCATTATGCCAAAGTCAGAACTTTAAGACTGATATGATATGATACGATAACTATATACTTTATAATTTAAAGTTTCAAGTTAATAATAATATATAGATGATGATGTCAAATATCAAATAAACCTAAACCTTTTGGCTGTAATATTATTTTCTCATATTTATATTGCCTGACTGAGGGAAGTATTACTTCGGCATTCAAGAAATTAAAGATTACTGAGATAAAACCCAATAAAATAAACCTCCATCAAGGATATAAACTAAATGAAGCTCCTGTTTGACTTACCGTAAATACAAGTGTTCGAAGTAGTCCTTGTCCCGGAGTCTGTTACGGTTACAGTTATTCCTCAGCTCTCCGCCGGAATCGGAAGTCACGCGAGTGCCCGAGTCATTGACAAATGGCCTGGGAACTGGCCCTCTATTGTTTTATTTTTATTTCTTCACGTTTTCCCCGAGCACTTTTCCGAGTTTCCACTGACTACACTGCCAGCCACCGACGGCCCCGCGAATTGGCCTAGTTTGTCTAGTATTTTGGTGTTGTCTTTCGTGTGTTTTTTCTTAGGCCTCTCCTAGGCTGCAGTTTTGAGTTACTTGGCACTTGTGTCTAATGCTTTTGTCTGCTTTTCTTGCCTTTCTGCTTGCGTTTTTCAGCTTTTCTCTTGCGTTTTCCAGACGGGCGACGCTCAGTCTTTGCTGGCACTTGAGAGGAACCGTTATCTGGGTGGTGTGCCGGTTGTGTGAGTGTGCGAGTGTGTGTGTGTTTGGTGTGTTTTGCAAGTGCGGTTGAATTAGCGAGCGAGACACGAACTTTTGACCCCGTTTCGACAATAACAACACGAGAGGAGCAGAGCAGAGGCTTCTATTCTCCGGCTTTTTGAACCCACTGCTGCTTGGCCGGCTTTTGCCACACTGAATGCGTTTATGTAGTTATGTCGGTGACTTAATTTTCGTTGTTTATTACGGGGTTCTTGCTGTTTATTGATTTAGCAGAGCGATAATAATTGTTGATTACCATTCAACCTGTCATTTGCACGCACATAACCTCACTTGGTTTTAAATTGAGAGGATTTACCGCTGTGTTTTCAACACTCGTCATTATTACAACTCGAAACTTAAGTTTTGGATTTTCCGCACGTTTTACGTAGCCAACCGAACTGATAAGGGAACACCCGGTAACATGACGTTTTTGCTCAGCCTGCGCCTCACGAACTGAACGAACACCAACGAGCACGAGTTGTGCGAAAAGCCAGCATCTGAGCTTCTCCTGAAACTTGACAGCTGTGATTTGCGGTACTTTCTCCCTCGCACTGTCTCTCTTTGGCGCCATCCGGAATAGTACCTTTCTCCACGTGGCGAGCGAACAGCTGTTGCCGCAGATGTTCCACTGAGTTTGCGTACTGACAGCTTACTGGAAAAAGCTGGGTAATTCCCAAAGCTTTGTGTCGTTATGGCACTGGAAACTGTAAAAATGGGAACAGTTAGAAGCTGCCATAAAGGTTTTTTTACCAAGGCGCCGCCTACAAAACAAATTGAACACAAAAGTTGGCGCGAAAGTCAACACTTTCCACACACACACACATGGGGCGGCAGAAGGGCCATCTTTCCGCTTGGCCAACTTTTGGGGCCAACAAACTTTTCGCATAACAAAAAGCCCAAAATTTTTTAACCCACTTTTGGCTTCAATTTACCCCTTAGATGGGGTTTACCCATTCTTAGGTGCTTTTGAACAAACAGTATCCATTTTTTAACACAAACAAAATAAGGGAATCATAAAAAATGCTTTGAAAGAAGAAACTGACATTGAGAATCCGAAGGGTGTATACCCTAACAGTACCCATAGGGATCATGGGTTCAAATGTTATATGTGTTGGCTTTTATTAGGACTTAACAAAATGTTATATCCAATAGCTTTAGTTCAATAAGTATTTAATTTCATATTTTTCAATTGATTTTTAGTCTGTGCTAGCCTGTGGCATTCAGCAGCAATGTCCATCATGTCCGTAGTGGCTGTGGCAGTGTCCATGTCCGCTGGATTTCTGCGAGACCTGATCTCCGCAACCCATCTCCTCAACCGAAGCCTGATCCACGGTGGTGAATCCGCTAAGGTCGCGCCGCATGTAATACGCATCTTCGCCATCCCTGTAGTACCCGACCTTTAGCTCCTGGAACTTAAATTGCAGCGAGTTTGTGTAAAGGTTGAGGGCAGCCCGGTTGCTCTTGCGCACATGAAGCGAGGCATACTGTGCGTTAAAGCACTCGACCATGGCCATTGCGACCTGGTCCATTAGTTTTCCGGCCAAACCGAGGCGGCGGTAGGAACGCTTTACCGCCAGCGAGATGATACGGCCATTACGACCGTCGCTCGGATCCGGTTCCATTATTTTGGCCAAGCAATAACCAACAACACGGCCCTCTTCGTTCTCGGCCACGTAACAGAGCTGCGGCCAGGTGGTAGCAATGCAAAGGTAGTACTTCATAAGGTAGTTCTCGGCCAAACACAACAGGTTGCAGTGTTGCATGCTTAGGATGTCCTCTGGGTTGGCGCGACGGATGTTCATCTTGCGGCTGTTTTAGTTCTTTCAATATATCTGCTGATCCTTCTGCACGAAAATCGTATTTCAGATGAAAATTATATGGGAAAATACACAAATGTTTGACATTTGACTCTTGGCCAACTTTGAGCCAAAAAAATATTCACCAACCTCAACAAAAACTCGCACTAATCGTCATTACTTCCGTTTAATTTTAATTACGCTTTATCTGTTAATTAATTACAAAAACCTAATGCATAAAAATGCAAAAAAACGTCGAAACATGCGCACCGTCAGCATTTATTGTTTAGCAACAATGGCCGTCGTGACCGCTATGATTGTGGGAGTGTCCGTGTCCGCTTGATCTATGCGAGACCTTATTATCCCCGGCAGCCGAATCCTCGTCACCCGCCTGCTTCGACTTGACCTGATCCTCATCGGCAAATTCACTGAGGTCACGCCGCATGGCGTAGGCATCCTCGCCATCCGCATAGTATTTGGGCTCCACCTCGATGATCTTAAACTTGAGCGAGTTGGCGTAGAGATTGAGGGCAGCCCGGTTGCTCTTGCGCACGTGGAGCGATACATACTGCGCGTTGAAGCACTCAACCATTGCCTGCGAGGCCTGGTTCATCAGCTTCTGGGCCAGGCCCAGGCGGCGGTAGGAGCGCTTTACCGCCAGCGAAGTGATGTGGCCGTGGCGGCTCTCCTCGTTGGGCTCAGGCTCCTCCATCTTGGCCAGAACGTAGCCCACGATGCTGCCCTTGTCGTCCTCGGCCACGTAGCTGAGCTGCGGCCACGTGAGGCCGTGATAGAAGTAGTACTTCATTTGGTAGTTCTCGGGCAGGCACAGCAGGTTGCAGTGCTGCATGGTCATCAGGTCCTCGGGTTTAGCGCAACGGATGTTCATGATGTGGCTGTTATTGCGGCTCGGCTTGACGGTTGGTATCTGCTAGTCTCGGCGAACTTTCCTCGCTCTGCCCGGCTGCTGTGGATGCTGTTGGTTCTGGTGGTGATCCCAGGCAAGTGGCTGCTGCTCCTCCGGTTCCTCCTGACCCAACAATTCGCGCACGAGACGAAACTTTGAAAGAAAAGCCTTCCAGATGAGAAACCAGCCTGCAACGGAATGGGGAATCGAATTTCTGGGTGAGTGACAGATCGGAGTGTTGAAACTTGACTACCACTATGCGTAATCGTCTGCGGGCGCCTGCTTACCCAACAAAATAATGGCTGCGACGAAACTAACAGAGGCTAATATCGTGAAAATGAAAACCAAGCCCGTTTGCAGGGACATTTCAAGGGGAAATCGTGCAATTGTCAGCTCTAAACATTCAAATAACTAGGGAAGTGTAGGTGATAAATTAAAAACTTCTGGTACACTATTTAAGGCTCCACAAAAATAAGGGTTTATTTAAGTTTTGTGTGGTTTCTGGTGCTTTCACAATAAAAAACAGCTGTCATGCAGGTGTGACCGTTTTAACAAACTCGAAATCTCACGGTTCCAACAATTGATGCCTAATTGGGAGGTTTCAATGAAATTACCAATAAATTCAAGAAAAATAAGCATTAAAATCAATTTACTCATTAAGTTCTGTACATAGAGAACTGATAAGTCGGGTAAATTCGTATTTAAAAGGTTCCCACACTCGCAACTATTGTTGCCACCAAAAACCACATGGAGTTGCAAAATCAACTAAGTAATCCGTTGCCGCTGTTGGATAAGTCCGGCGGTTAATAAGACACTATTTGAAATAAGCCGAAGATGCTTATTGTCCCGAATTCGGGTTATTTTTTATTTTATATCCACCTTGCTTTTTAATTTATTTATTTTTCGCGAGCGAGCACACTTTGCACTTATACACCGGCTCCAGTGTTACCAGAACGATATAAAAAGTATGCATAAATAAAATACTGATACAGCTATTTATAAATTTTTTTTTTTTTTTTTGTTAACTGTAAAGTAAATAAACAAATGTTTACCAATAGATAATAGTCTTTGTTTACATTTTTTTAAACAAATGAATAATCTTACATCAAAATATACCGTCCCGGAAAATACCAAAATACATCAGTCTGTATGCATGTAAAAACAGCTGTTTACCAGTAGCAAGTTGGCAGCCGCTCGCTGGACTCTAATTTTTAACAAATGCAATTTACTAATTAAACTATCACAAAATGCAAGAGTTTTCCGCCAAACGCGATGCACTATTCGCATGTCTCGATGATGCCAGCAAAGAGCTGAGGGGCACGGGCCTGGACCAGAGCAAGGCCAAACCGTATTCTGTCAACGCTCTCGACCGGGGAAGTAAATCCGGAAACGCATCCGGGCCCGGACAGGTGATGAACTACCGTCACGGACGCAGCATTGAGGCAGGCCTCGAGCCGTCGGATGGCAGTTTGCGACGGATGCGGGGTAAGGAGAGCATTTTCAAGAAGCCCGAGCTGCCTATCGGACGGTGTTTGAAGCCCCGAAAGACGCCAGATTACCAGGTAAGAGAAATGCCCTGTCCTTACAAGAACCCTCTTAAAGTATATTGGACTTACCGACAGATAAATCCCCACAAGTGGAAGAAGTACTCCCTTGCCGACGTCGATATATCCGATCAGAGTAACTCCGCTGCCGCCTTGTCTTTCCTCCGGGAAATGGACGCCCAGCGGGATGCTGAGGGAGCTGACGACGATTCCATGAATGCCGGCGGCAAGATCGAATTCAAGAAGACCAGCAAACTCAATCGCAATCTCAAGAAGCTGCAGGCGGAGGAAGTGAACGATGTGGAGGTGGACAAGCCCCAGTTAAGAGGCTCCAAACTGGTGATGCCCGAGTATGTCATAGGCCAAAAGGCGCAGAAACAAAAGAAATCAAAGCCGAAGTCGAACCAAAGTCGTGCCGCGGGAAAACTTCAGCTTTCCCACTTGGCTGAGGAGGACGAACAGGATGAATAGGCTACGATTTATAGGCGTACTTTTAATATAATCGTAATAGGTAGTTGTCCTTTACATTTTAAGAGTGTAATTAGAACTCAAGCTTATTAAACATTGAGCTTTTGTCTAAAAATGCAGTGATTTATTCATTCTTCGTCGTTTCTAAAATTAGACAAAATTTTAATACATTTTACTTAATATTTTTAAATATTCCATCTCTGTATAATGGAAATGGTTGCTTGTGACAATTATTACTTAAATGAACATAATTTTCCTACCCCAGGAAAATTGGGAAGAGTATTGTCTCAGAGTATAAAATACAAACATATATAGCACGCGGCACAAAACACATATTCTAAAGGACATACATAAATGCGACGACGATACGTAACGAACATAATACGGTTGTGAAATGCAAATAGTCAGTCGGCCGGGGAATGCTTTCAATATGGGCAGTGGCTACCGCGGCTACTCTTTGTAGAAGCCAGGATTGAAGTAGAGTTTTTTGTTGAAGCCAAGATTTTCGAAGGCACCCGTCTGCATGGATCCCTTGAGGGTGCGCATGGTGCCCACCGAGGCGTTTGTCTTCTTCAGGATGTCCTCGAAGTGCGTGTCGTGGGCGTGCTTGGCCAGCATGTCGCACAACGTCTGGATGTACCAGCTGCCAGTCTCGGGATCCCTGTGGGTCACATACCCGGGCGTATTTGCATGGCACACCAGCGTGTCCGAGAGGGTTGGCACTTTCGCACGGGATACACCCTCCGTTTCAACTTCACGCTCCTGCGGCTGCACCACAACTGATGATGGCACCATGGAATCAAACTGATTATTCGGCTGTCCCTTATCCTCCTGCTCGCCGCGACACGACGGAAAAATAAGCACCTTTGGCTTGTCCACCAAATACGGACTGACATTGGCCTGGAAGTGGCTCTTGATGATGTGCGTATCCGCCACGGATCCATCGCGAAACTCCACCTTATCGATCTCTTTAACGCGATTGCCGTGCGTCATCAGCACCATCACGAAACACTCTGTGTTCTTGGCGTACGTCGAGGACGTTACCTGACGGAGCACATTGAAGAACTGCTGCTGGTTCATGTTGTCGTACGCGAAGATAATAAAGCCCATTAGGCGGAAGAGGTGTATCAGTGAGTTGCTGTCCACATGGGCGCCGTTCCGTCTTCGCTCCGGATTCGGGAAGTCAATAATGTTGACCATGAACAACACTCCGCGGTTGTGACGCGACTCCATGGGATATGTGCCAAGCAGTTTGTCTACATGGATCATTGTGGACATTTGTACCTCTCGTGTTCCCTGCACTTCCTCCGTGTGCGGCATCAGTGGTCCCAGCGGATCGCCGAGGGGCTTCTGCAGCGGTAGCGGAAACGAGATAAGCATTTGTAAAGCAAACGAAGCTGATAACGTTACAAAAACATATAATACAATACAATAAATACAAAAATTGTTCAAAACGCATTATGTATTAGTCAGTTTTCATCCAAACTGGCAGTGAAGGCATAGGGATATCAAAATGATGGCATCATGTGGTGAAATTCAGGTAACAGGAGTATGGGGAGCCCCAAAACTGGTTTTAGCCCCCATAGAAAACGGGATAGGGGTAAAGCACTTGAAGTTTATGAGATAAGTACTTGTTTTTGCTTTCGTTTTTAGCATGATATGGCCTTGACAGGTGATTCATACACCCGACGCAGGTTAATGACCCTATCCCACTGGAGAAATTAGTGGGATAGGTATTGCTTTTGTTTATTCTTAACCCAATGTAGGGAAAGGGGTTGCGGGTGCATGCGGAGACACAATCTTTAATAATAAAAATCAAAGAATTTACCTTGCTGACACAGGCTCCTTCCGCCTCCGGCGTTTTGGTGTCCACAATGTCCGCCGACCTGCTGTTGGTCTTGCGCTCGGTGATCGATATGAAGGGCACTCTGGCAGCAGAGTCATCGACGGACGCCAGTAGCTCAGCGGCTTCCACAGAGTTTACGTTTCGCAGGGCAATTATCAGCTGGTTGTATGCGGTGGGACCGCGTTGAATGATCTTGAGAAAGAGCTTACGGTGCTGCTCCAACCGGACATCCTCCTCGTCCATATTAAAGCGCTCGCCATTGAGATCCTCTGCATTGCGCAGCATCTGCGTAGAGAGGATGCCCTGGCGAACGCACTCGGGTGCTATGCGGCTGTAGTCGGTTAACTTTACCAGCGGATCGAGGTTGCTGCGGATGTGGTCGCGGTGCTTCTTCAGCATTCCAATCTCGCGTTCGGGTGGCTGCATTCCGGAGCTGTTTTTTTCGTGTTTTATGGCTTAGTTGCACTTATTTGTAAGTCGAAGGACAGCGGCAGTGTTCAATCTCCAATTGGCAGTGATATTGGCAATGAGTCACTTCAAGGTTTTTCCGTGACTGGCTTTGGCACTCGGTTTGCGTCTTTGTCTCCTCTCAGGCTTTGTTTTCGTTGTCGTTTGTGCTGGTGGAGCAACAGGCAATTGCGCGGGGACAGCACTGGCAGTGTCCTTATTTTTTCAAAAGCAAATTAAGTATGTATTGCACCAGGATATTATTGCACAAGGATTTTATGGATAAGATTTCTTTTGAAACAAAAGGATCAGTGCTAATGCGCGCTCTTTCTCTCTCGTTCGCAGCCGTTCGTTTGTAAGTGCGGATCAGTGTGACCGTTGCGCTACCACGAAACAAAACCTTCTACACATCAGCCAAAAAATCCCGCCGGCAAAATAAGAAATACTAGAACCTCAATGCGAATTCCTAGAAAAGGAAAGTTGGCAGCTCCACTGCCACAGCTGATATTATTTTGAATTAAGAATTCCGGAAAACCAAAACTTAAAAATGGAGAGCAGCGAAATTAACCAGGAAACGGATAAACCAGTAGTGAAAAATACCCCGAATACTGGTATTCTTAAAAGAGATCAAAAGATGCGCTTAGAAAGGTACTTGCACAGGCACGGCTTCTCACAGCAAAACCTTCTTGCAGTCTCCAAATTCCGTGACCAAGACCACACGAAGGAAACGCTCGGTGAGTATCAAAAATATTAAAATAATTACTTTAGCAATATAATTAACACCTATTCCATCCAGCCTACGTGTCTAGTATGTACGATTGGGCAAGGGAAAGAGTCGCCGACTGCGACTCCGTGAGTCTGAACAACATTACCCAGTGGCTGGAGCTGATGAGCAATGCCGATCTTTCCAATCGTTGCGAATTCGAGGCGGCGGCTGTTATGAATTCCATAGTGATGAATGAGAAGAAGCCACCGCCACATGAACTAAATGACATTGACTTGAAGTAAGTATCCATTGAACTTTGAAATTGTTGAAACCCATCACCTTACTATTTCAGTGAGGCCTACACATTTCTGGAAAATGCGCTACTTGGCCAGCCCCAAAAGAACCTAACTGAAGCTACCAAGGCGTTTATTTCAAGAGAAATTGAAGTTAGTTATCCTCATTGATTTTCTCTACAGAGTTCATTCAGTTTTAAAGTGAATCCCCCACACAGATCCTTATAGATGAGGCTAACACCGACGAATCGGATGATGTGGCGCGAAGCATGGGGCAAAGCCTGTACCACGAGCAGGAATACGACTATGTCGCGCAGCCGAACAAGGCTAGCCTAGATCCCCTGTTCCTGGACGAAAGAGAATAATTATAGACCGCTTAATCATTTCCACACATTTATTAAACATTTAAATTCAATTTTTGTTTTTATATACGTACATTGTCACATTTGCATTTGCACTTTGTCGCTCCATTATCAATCGTTTCCTCGCTCTATACATAAGTATTACTATGCCGAATGATGCCCCGAACCTTTGTACGTATTAGTTAATATTCGATAATTACACTCATAATTAAGTACTTGACTATAAACAGCTTTAGCACATTTAAAATCTAGAATTCCTTTAGTTGTACACGATTACTTCAAGTAGGTGTAAGTACACGAGTATAAGAAAAAGTTAAGGTTAGGGTTCCTTGGCCTTGGATTCTCTCAATTGCATAACATTTATTGTGCATGATTGTTTTCAATGGTTGCTTGTCGCCAATTAGCGTTGCATAGACTAGAGTATAGAGATTTGGTAGTTTAGTTTTTGTTTTGCTTTGACTAGCTTTGTTTTAAACTTTAAGAGGCATAAAAACAGTGGAGTGCTGCTTGACTCTCATAGCATCACAATAGAATCACAAGAGACAGAGTTGGCTACGTTTTGCATTTGCATTTTTAATTTCATTTCAGGTTCTAGGATGTCACACACTTACGATAAGATAACCGAAGATGATTTCACATACATACGTTCAAAGTTACATATACAAATTCGAATACAAATATAATACCCTTTAATATTAACCATAGTGTTCTCGTTAATCAATCAAATGCAATTCAATAATGTACATAATATAACTCTTAAATGTTCAGTCCAGTTTGAGCTTTTTGTTTTCCCCTTCTTCTTGGTTTCTCTTTAGCTTGTGTAATTAATTAATTAAAATTAAGTAAATCTAATTATTTATACATACGATTAAACGCTAGTAAACCATACCGATATGCCTGGTCTAAGCTCCCGAAAATGTCATCGAAACGAGCTTTAACAACTAAAACTAAAACTAAGACTAGGACTCAACACAATGCAAAAGCAGATTCGGGTGCATGGCAAGGATATGCTGGAGTTTCGGGATCATTAGATCGTGGCATAAACCAAATGCAAATCCCGCAGGATCGAACGAACACAACGAAGACGACAAAACAAACGCAACAGCAACGAATAATTCATATAATTGGTAAATTATTGTGTATTGGCAAAGAGTGTTGTGTCGGTAGAATTTTGATTGTCCCGTTTCCGTGTCGTGTTATTCAGAGCATAGATCATTCGTGTGTATATATATAAAGTAGGTTTCAGCGTGTCCTAGGTAGAGTTCGCCTTGCTTTCTTCTTGTATACATATATATAAATTCATATTTGGTTTCTATTTTCCGCTAAAACATACCACACAACAATGATAATCGCTTAATAGCCGCTTTTGTAATGAATACGTCGAAGACTTCTCCACTATATAGGTAGTTTCATGAGTTTACCAACTACCACACATCTATACAAATTGACTATAAATCTGAGAGATTGAGTTGTTGCCTCCATTAATTGTTCGGGACTTGTATCTGTTTCAGGATTCGTGTATTCACCTTAGTAGTAGTTTTGGGTATAGTTTTCTGGTCGGTTCAGTATATTCCGCTTGATCAGGAGTACTTAAAAGTGTAAGTATTATAGGAATGGATTGGATGATGAGGCGGGGGCAGGCTGGAACTCTCGATCGATAAAAAATATCCTTTCATATTTGTGGTTATTTATGTATATTCATTTTGATTGCGTCTGCCGTAAAGCTCTGGGATAAATTTGATTCTCTTGATGCCTAGGTACGTCGTACAGTAGGTACTCGATTTCGATTGTAGTTAATTGCATATTCATATTTTGAGGTATGTGCTAGAGATATGATATATGTATGTATGCTGGGAAAAGTAAACTTTGTCGCACAAATTCCGATGATTCCTTTGAGTGTGGTGATGATTTATGATATGATTTCATTAAGAATATGCATTAAATAATTAGTAAAATATCAGTATGCTATATGTGAGGAATATTCGATATGTGGGCCTAGCGTAAACATTTATAATAAATTTTTGTATTAGTTAGGGTCTTCTATGAATTGATTGCATTTTGCCTAGTGTCCTTTGTGGTTCCTTTGGGATTGTGTTTGGGTGTGGGTGTGTGTGTTTGACACTTTTCTCTTGTTAAATTACATTAAGTTTGCGGATTACCTTTGTTGTTTTGGTCACATCGAATTGGATTGGCTAACAACATTTAGATTGGTTTTAAGCTTGCTCTTGGTACACTTTTACAATGTCATAATTATATAACTCTAATATATATATATATTTGTTAGTTGATTACTGGTGTTTCATAAATGGACCGAAATTGCATTGAAAAGTAATTGGATTCTTTTGAATGTTTTTATTTCTGTATTTTTTTTGCGATCTTAGTTACGTCCGGAGAATAGTTGATACTGTAATAGAGTTGTTGCAAGATCATAATTAGGCCATCAATCTGGTTGATTTCAAACGGTTTGTCAAAATACATAGAGATCTAGTATTGGTAGTATTGTTACAATAAGTAGGTATAGCTAGCTACTGTTACGGAATTGCTGCAGTATTACTCGTTTATTACGTATATTACGGGGGGTTATGAATACGGGAAAATATACACCAAATATTTGGGGACAGGAGGAGAGTACGGGGGGGCAGGGCACACACACAGTACAGTTTTATTATAAAGATAATCAATATATTAGCAAAAAGTATTACAGACATCGACATCGGTTAGCGGTTAGCGGTTATCGGTTATCGGGAGGGTTCGGTAATCATGCATCGATTGTCGGGACCTGCTTCCTGTTTCCGGTGATACATCTGGGGGGATCTGGTGACTGTTTCTTTAGGTTTTCTGGATTGAATGCAAACTACGAACATCTATCTAGGGTTAACTTACGGCTAGGTGTACGTGTCTGTGTAAGAATCGGATCGAATCGGATGGGACTTCCGCCGGATGTGAGTGACTACAAAACTACTACTAAGGTACAATTGTGGATGAGTGTGGGTATTATCGGAATGGAGGGGGCATTACTTCCGGGGACACCCCGCCTCCGGGCGTGGCGACTTACGGTTCAGCAGAGTTAAGCCTGTCTTAGGTAGCGGTAGTTACTCTTTTCGATCTCACCTAGTTGGCATTATGTATATGTAATTCTTAAAGACTTGTCGCACAATCTACGCACATTTGAAATGCGAGAACCTTTGAACTCTTAAGGCACATTTTGAAGTGTAATAATAATAATAATTATAATCATATATGTAGGTACGACTTACAGTACAGCGAAAGCAAATGGAAATAATAAAATGCACAAGCGGACTAAGGGTTAAGGGGTTAGGGGATCAATTGGTTATGGGGTTCACGGGGTCAAATTTCAAAGCAACACTGATTGTGCAAAAGCCAAGTATACATTTAACATTTACAATAAATTCGCAATGACTTAATCGTAGTAGAGTAAAAAATACAAAGTACAAATGCATATCAACATCTGGTAAGTCGGTAAACAGATTCATATAGTTCAGATTCAGATCGATATATGTATATAGTGGGTATGCAAGATAGCGGGTAGCAGCCTTCTGAAGCCTTCAGTGTCAGTCAATCAATCAAGTTTACACATATATGTATGTATATATATATATATTGTACAATATCTCCGCGATCAGCAGTTTAATTCGATTTGTTCGCAGCTCGAGTTTTCTCTCATTTCCATATATATTTCTCAATTATCGGTTGTTGTTCTTGTTGTATTTCCAAAATATTTATATAGTGCAGTTCAGATGGGCAGAAAGTAAAATGGCAAGTCAAGTAGTACAGAGACATTCAAAACGTCAATTCCAATACACTTAGGAACACCACAATTATATTGTACAGCTGCGAGAAAGTTTGATAAATCATTTGTTTTGCGGGATTAAATTAAAAATTGCAGGCACAGAATTAGCATGCATTTCAAAGGAGGTGGTTTCTTATTTCTTTTCTTTTCAGTTTCCTAGTTTTTTTCAGTTTAGGTATGAAGTTTCACCTTTGATTCAGCAGCGATTTATGGAGTCTGATATAAGATTTAAAGGTCTAGCCTGTCAGTTTTATTTAATTTCATGCATTGAAGGACCTTCTTCTTTTAGATTAATATTTGTTTCTATTCAATTATAGTTTCTTTAAATAAAATATTTAATATTTAAGAATAAAGGTTGAAGATTTGATAGTAGATCGGACAAATTGAGAACAAACTGCTTCAATAGCTTTCAGAACTTTAACTTTCAAACATGAAAAATTGCAAGCCAAGAAACCATGCATGAAATTAGAGATTAAAATTAAAAAAATTATGTATAAATTAATACAAAACTTCTATCAAATATAGTACCTGGATTACAGCAATATACAGGAACTTAATGGCATTTAACGTATACGTTACTAACTTTAGATTGCCTATCTCATATTTCGTTTGGCAAACATTAATCCAACATTAATCCGATAAATTCATGGTGCAGGTGCTTAAGCTAAACTAACTGGTAATGTGTGGGCTTTAACAATAATACCACTGTCACGGTCGTCAAAAAAGGCGACGGGATTTACGAATTCGGGTACGGTGCCAAGGATAAAGGATTCACGTTCCGCACATAAACACTACGCTAATACACACACACACACACACACACATGCAGCGGTGGCCATAGTGTCTGTGTGTGGTCGGGATTTAGGGGGATCTCTCAATTTGATTTTCCAATCACTAATCGAATTCGATTCAATTGTTCACGCGTTCGATTTTCCGTGAGAGAGATAAAGAGGACCGTAGGAGTGACAACAACTAAGATAATCAACAGTGTCAATTAATATCAATAATAATAAATGTAAATAGCAGTTAGTTAAGTAAGTATCCAATTGGGCTATGTGGCGGATAACTCGTCATGATTTTTCAGATATTTGGTATATTGGTATTTCAACATTAACAATTATGGTACATACAAATATAGAGGACTTGAATAAATTCGCCAAAAAAACAACAGTTGTATTCGTTCTATTAGTATGCATATAAATATTAGTTTGATAATTGGTTTTTATGTTTACTCTTTAGCATCGACCGTAAGTAAGTAAGTAAGTAAGTAAGTATAACTAGGCTATAGTATATAGGTCTCACATAGGTACATTCATATACATAAGTTGATTCATTCCTTGATTGTTTTCTTTGCTACATTTTACCCTCTGCCCCGCTTGCATATACAACACATGATTCAGATTTCAGATTCCTTTTGCACTCGAATCTCTGCGATTCGATTCGATTCGATTTGATTAGCATTTGATTCGTTCTTGATTCGTTTCGATTCGATCTTTGGTTTTCAGTATTCAATTCCGTGGCGGATTGAGATTGAGATTCATGCTCCGCAGCTTGGCCTTTAACCGCACATTGTTGAGGCTCTGCTGGTAATTGAGGCCATAATTATAGCCGTAATTGTAGCCATAGCCGGAACCCGATCCGGAACCAAGTCCGGAATTGAGGCCGGAACTGTACTGGCTGGTGCTGGCTGAACCGTAGCCATATCTGCCGGAATCGGCGTTGGCCGGAGCCTCGCCGATTTCGTTCAGATCGTACTATTGACTGAATGTGATATTGAGTGACGGACACTTTCGGACGTTGCTGTTGCTATTGCTGTTCCGCGTACCGTTGACCCGCAACAGCGGCACCGGACTCACGGTGCCGGATACGGAAGTTAATTGTCTTACCATGCCGGATCCCAGCTGCTGCAGTAGGCCCGATCCGGAGCCGAGTGGACCCGATGAGAGGACCGTGGACTGGCGGCGCGATCTAATGCTCTGCATGCTGGACGACAGCAGAAAGGGGACGCTGCTCGAGGTGTTCGGCATGGAGCCACCCTGTTTTTGGGAGTACAATAAAGGAGATTTCTTTGGAAGATTAGTCAAGGCTTGTCGTGACTGAGGAGAGGGATCTGTACGAGTATATCGGGCGGATGCGATCGGGAGCGAGGCATACTCTTAAATATAGATATATATATTTATCTGTGCTATGTACATTGTCTGCGATGTGCATGTGTGTGTGTGTATGTGGTGTTGGTTGAACCCAAGGCTTACCGGTACATATACGTAAGCTGATTGTGCTACAAACGAACAAACCAACAACGAAACCAACAAACAATCAAACAAAGCAACAAACCAACCAGCAAACAAACAAACAATGAAACCAAATCACTCAAACTCGAACTGAATCAATCAATCAGTAGACAGGAGAACAGGAGACGGATCCAAAACATTGATACAAATAGAGGGAAACTGAATGGAGAACATATACTGGATGTACACGGTTGTTCAACCGAATGGGAACATATAAATATTTATTTATATATATGGATATATGGTATGTACAGATGAGGCCGAGTACACATGAGTATTTATGCATATATATATACATATATTCCAAATCAAATTTCGCAATACGGGGCGCGGGCGGAGAGCAAATGAAATGAAATTACATTAACATAAAATTTAATATCAGCATACGGCGTGAGGTGGTGGGCGTTGTGACGGTGTGTGGGTGTGTTTGCTGGAGTGTGTGTGTCTAGACCTTAAATAGTGGAGAGGCAGAGGAATAAAAAGGGAGAGGGTGGAGTGAGCCGAGAAAGAGTTGAGAAGAGACTGAAAAAGAAAATTAAATGGGAGAGAGAGAAAATTCTGAAATTATGAAACGTGTACTCACGATCATGCTCCGTGCAAGCTGCGAATTTTTTGTTATTTTATTTTATACGTATAATCGATTTTTGTTTCAATTATTATTATTTTTTTTGTTCGTACATGAAATGAAGAACGGAAATACACACATGAAAGAGACGCATATGTAGTGTTTTTTTGTGCTCGTCTGGGCTGAATAAGGAAGCAGCCCAAGTTAACATGAATCCACAACGCGCTGCTGTTCAAAAATTCAACAACAACGAACCAGCGAAAAATACACAAAATTCTGGCTTCCGTTTAGATATATATATATATGTTATACAGATTTTCTTGTTAGCCATTCAAATAGTACATATATATAGTAGTTAGTGTCCATGTTCCATGTGTGTGTGGCATTTGGTTTTTCATTGGTTTTTGTTTTTTTCAGATACGAACGCAACTTAAACAGAGTTAAATGGAAACAAAATCAAATAAACACTGAGCACGATCAGGACATTTAATGAAGAAGTAGTCAGGTATAGTATAGTATAGTATATAGTATATAGTATAGTAAAATAAAACTTAATAGGTGTATCATTTGTATTGGTCTCTAAATCGATGTATGCGTGTAATTTCAATTATTTATGGACTTTTGTTGCGAGTCTTTTATCTATATCTTTCATCTTTGTCTTTTTTTCTTTAAAGATACTTCTCCTAGCAAAGTCCCAAAAAGTGTGCTATGAATTTGATTGATTTTCTCCTCCGTCAATTTGATTATTTCGCAGAAAAGTCTCCCTCCCATTCATCAAATTTACATCAGGCAACTTCATTATTGCAATACTCTGGGCCGCTTGAAAGCACTTTGTATATACACTTAGTAGAAATCATAATAAGATACGTAGGTAGGTGAGGAAAATAATGTGAAACACCGAAAAAGACAACGAAAAGGGAATAGAGTCGACGACTGCATTATATATACACCATACTGGATATTAGCATGAGCTTAGTATGAGCTATTCCACCCAAAGGTCCCCAGAGACAGAGAAAGAGAAAGGCAGACAGAGAACGGAAGTACAGGCAGACACAGTTGAAGAACAGGACTCTTGAAACTGAATGGGAGCCACACGGAAAACAATAAGCTCAAGAAACGAGTTAAAAACAGAGATGAATACATGTACAGGAACAGCAGCAAATGCACAAACATATCGGAAATGGAAATGAAAATGAAAACAAACAAATAAATAAATAAAATAAAATATATATACTTGTTGCAACAGGTTTTCCATCCAAAAAAACAGCACAAGAACGGATACGAGTACGAGTACGAGAGATTTAGGCGCAAGTCAAATTCATATTCATATTCAAACGCAGTTGCAGTTGCAGTCTCAAAATACGAGTACATTTCGAATAAAAAGGCCAGCGAGCGGCGAGTGCGAGCGAGCGAGCAATAGAAACGAAAACGGAAACGCATCGCCCAGCTTCCGTTCGCCATTTTGATTAGCAGTCGGCCATTGTTCGAGTGAGTTCGTGTGTGTTGGAAGTGGGCTTAGAACAGGACAGAGAGGTTAGCTTCGAGTGCTTTTGGAGACGACAACGACAATGAACAATGAAACAACGACAATGTTAACAACTTGACAAGACAAAAGTCCAAATTCGATGCTGGCTTTAAGTGCTGCCGACAACTCGCACAAGAATGTCAAATGGATCCGTAAAAATAGGCCCAACCATGTGTGTGAAATAGTCTTATACCCTTGGCAAAGCGGTTTTAAAATTAAGTGTCCATATTTAGACTATTAATTATAATTTAAGGTGAAAATATTCCTCTTTTAGGGAGTTTGAGTGATATAATATTTTTTATTTCCTTGTTAATTTATTTTTCAATAAATCTCCAGATATTTTTGTTTAATATCTTATTATCTAATATTGTTCAACTATCATAAAAATTGAATTTTACGCCACCAAGGGTATAGTATCTTCGACTTGGTCGAAGTGTCAAGTGTTGTTCTGTAATTCGACATTCGCATGACTGAGATTGCTTTGTTTTTTAGACTTACAACATAGACCGAAGTGGAGGGCACCGATAGACTCGATCCAGAGCTACCGCGGGCACCGTACTATAGTTTATTTTTTTGTTTTTTGGGAAAAGAGACATAATTTGTGGAGATCGATAGATCCCGAGGCGACGACAACGTGATTTGTGTTTATTTGAAATATATTATACATATATATATTTTTCGTTGTTGTCAAGTTTATATGTATTGTAGGTGATCGTGGTAGATCGGGGGAGATAAGATATAAGAGAGCGTGTGTTAGAGCATTTCTGTGGTTAGTATGTAGACTTTGCTGCGGGGTCAGGGGGGAAATGAGCTAATACATGAACGCATTCATAACTGATCAGATCGGAAATCATAATGTTTGAATATACTTGAATAACAAAAGCAACTGAACCCGGAACATAATGTTTCTTTGTTTGCTTTTGTAATGTTCGCTTGAGAACTGTTAACTGTTAACTGAGAACTGTAACTGTTAACTGTGGTAGTAGTAGTAGTAAGTAACTGTAAGAGCTAATCTAGGCGCTATAGCTATTGATGGCTATATATGGATAGTAGTAGTATTTCGGCGGGTTCAAAACACATGGCACATGAGCTGCTGGAGAAGCCAAACCAAGAATACAGCGAGCGAGGCACTCAAATGAAATTTCAATAAAAATCAAATAAGGGCAAGCCTTTTGTGGCCACCGACGGCCAATCGAGTGGCACATCGCGGAAAATAAAGCGAGAATATGTATATATATACATATATGTATATATATTTATATGGGGGCAGGGGGTGAAACCACAACAAACAATGGTGGCCACAAAATAAAAGCCAAACAAAAGCGGGAAAAAAGAACCCAATAAATACAATAAAAATAAACACAAGAGAAATAATAAAAAACGTTAACGTCCAAATTGAAATCGAAACCCAGTGCCGGGCCAGACACAAACAACTTACAGTTGGCGGTGACAAATTGATGGTGGAGCCCCGCCGTTCCTGCGGCCCGATGCTCGAGTGCCTCCTGGTTGGCAGCCCGCTGCCCGGAGTGCCGCCCGGCGAGCTGGCGCACGAGGGCGCTATCCGGATCTTCGGCGTCATCAACGTGTTGTCCGACAGCCGCCGGTTGGGGAACACGTTCCCGACTCTCAGGAAGTTACTGTCCGGCGATGAGGGCGAGCAACCGAACCACCAGCCGCCCAGCATGCCGGATCCTAGATGCACATAGAGATGAGGAGAGCATATTACTTGGATATATAGTTAGAGTAATTTATGGTTAAAATATAAAACATGTTTTACAACTAGTGAAGGATTTACTTAAGGATTTCACAATTTTAATGATGTAACCCCATTCATTTTTTAGGAAAAATTGGGAAAGTCAGTTTTGCAATCTGAAATGGCCAGACAGATTCGCCTGTTAATGCTTATCAAGAATATATATGATTTATAGGGTCGGAAATGGCACCTTCACTGATCAAAATTATATTTTCCTCTGCACTCGAAATTTTTATTTATATTATTTGGTATGTCTGCCTCCCTCTGCTGCAGCTCTAGAGATGGCGCTTACGCTCTATCTCTCTCTGTTGCAGCTACAGAGGTAGCTCTTTCCCTCTCGCTCTCTTTCTCTGGTATCATTGATCGGGAAGTATAAATAGAGGTGCTTCGATCGCCGCGATCTCAGTCTGTCCTAGGGGTACCTAGTGTTAACATCGATAGTGATAGTGATTACCCTTCGACCTAAACTATATGACGTGGCCAATGCAACACGTCCAGATAAACAGGAAGAGATCTTCGGTGCCATGATAATTCTAATTGAAGTCACCACGATTATAAGTCGATACTGTAAGGAATAACATCTAAAGTGATAGTGAAAGAATAACACTTCGATGAATCCATATCGAAAGATGATACTTAATTAACTCACCAGGAATATAACTCTACATCGGAAGGAATTAAGCAATAACAAAAGATGACGTGTCCTCTACTGGGGTAAGTGTTTACTTTGACAATTTATCATTATTATATTTTAAACATTAAGAGATGCTATAGGAGTGATCAGGCCTAGGTCTAGAATAAGATGTGCTAGCTCGTAGGAATTGATATAATAATCAATTCAAAATTAAAGTTTTTTATATAACACGGGGATATTCCTTAAAACGTACTCATTTCATCAGTTAATAATTATTTAGAATACTTTACATACAATTTTAAAGCACAAACTATACCAGAAAATGACTTTATTGTAGCCCTTCTGTAATTTGTTTCCTGCGCACGGCCAACATGAAATGCGATTCATCATCAGATACGCGGACATTCCACAGCCCTCGGTTGGGAAGCTAATTAAGTCTAATAATGGTCGCGGTCGAGGCCCAAAAACAGTGTCACGTAGGCGGCGTATACATAGCCTCCAGTCGGCGGCGTGACCGCAGTCAGAGCCAAAAACCGACAAATCGGCAACCAGACAGACCGGCAAACCGACAAACAAACGCCGAAACGCAGCCAGCCAGGAATTTGCACGCCTGCGAATACTGTCACTGCCAAGGACATTCGTACATTTTGCGGTTGCGGCTGCTGCACATGACTTGGGACCAAACCCCCCGCCCACCTACAGTTCACCTGTTCTCATTCGGATTCCCATTCAGAGGCAATTTATGCCGAAAGTTATTAACTTGAATGCATGGCAACTGTCAAGGTTGTGCCAGGCCACTCGGTTTTCGCAATTCGATTAAGGTTTTTGGGCAACGCAAGCCGCCTACAAACAACTGGGAACACATATAAAGAAATGAATATGTCCTTAAGGTTTCGATAAAGGGAAATTGATGTAATTTGGATATCATATTAATTTGATTCCTTATCCTATGTGGCGTATACGTAATTTCTTATCCAGTCAGATTTCCACTACCAAAATCGCACATCCTGTTGATTCATTAAAGTTTTAAACCCTGCTTTTTGTCATTTGGAAATGTTAGTTCGGATTTCGGTTTCCGGAACCCGCAAAATGATCCTGACCTTGTTTGTTTGTGACTTTTAACTTGCAAAATGCAACGTGGGCAGGTGACAGCAAACAGGTTACAGGCAGCAGGTGAAATAGGTGAGAGGGTAGGTTGGCAGGTGCCAGGTGGTAGCTAAGTCTGACCCCGGCTGTGTTGGCAAATTGTCAGTCCCGGCCGGAGCTGAGCCCCGGGTGAACTGCCTCGTGTCTGCGGGCGATTAGGGCCATCATAATAAATCATCATTAGGGGCGAAAGTTCATTAAGTACAAGCACTGCACACAGCCTGTACATGTTACCATAGCAGATAATGCCCGGCTGCGGGCGGTGCTTTTGATTTTCATGTTGGTTATTATAAAATTATCATTGCCAGGATAATACAATTAAATGTCGGTTACAATGGCCTAAGCTGGAGTCCAGACTGAGACTGAGCCTGAGACCGAGACCGAGCCCACTGATTAGTGGGCAGGACAAATGGGCTTCTGTCACGTTCGATGAATATCAATTCGAAATCACGACGAAATTTCCAATTATACATGCCCACAGGCGGCTACTCAGCCAACCGAGTCACTTAAGGGTCTGGTGGGGTAAGCTCATAAATATATATACATAGGCAGTTTAGCTTGGCTTTGACAGACTTCTTAGGCCCATAATAATGTTTTACACTTCCCGCAGACATTAAACATGAGCAGATATTTACATAAATTTGCATTATTTACTGTTTAAATTTTTAAGGTGTAGAATCTATTTACTGGAGCAAATCAAGGGACAAGTTCTCCCTAGGCAGATTTCATTTACTCAAAAGAAGCTACGAAATACAAGAGCAAAGATAGTGTCTTCCACTCACCGCCAGAGTTCTTGCGAGCCATGTCCTCGGCACTGGACGTCTTGCGTTGATCTATACGCAAGTTGGGTATGTTGAAGGGCGGCGCATTCATGTTGTCCGTGGAGAACTGGTGACGCAGGGTGCGGTGCCTTTCCGGCGAGGCCATCGACAGGTTGTCCAGCTTCAATTTGTTCCGTTGCTGCCGATCGATCGCCTCCAGCATCTGTTGCAGCACCTGTAACAACAATAGCACACGGAAAGTTGCAGCCTGAAATAACTCGGAGTAAACTCCTGCCTCCCACTCACCTCCAGCAGGTAACAATATTGCTCGAAATTGAGTGCCGGATTGACGGTATGCGGTATGAGCAGAGGCAGCACATTGGTGGCCATGGTCTCCACGGTCAGGCCGTACGTTTTGTCCACAAACAGTTTATGATAGATGCCTGCGAAAATTTAATTAAGAGAAGCGGAGTTACTTTCAGACAGGAACTAAGGCCAGATTGGAGCTCTTCAGTAAGTGCAAAAACTGCTGGAATTTTTAAATATATCTTAGGAAATGCGCTTATATATATTAATAAGTTTACACCAAATAATTTAGATTAAGATATACAAGATATAGACTTAAGAGAATTTAATCAAACTATAAGTCATAATAACAACCTTAATTGGCGAGTGAGTTTTATTATCCTTAATTATTAAAGCAAACATATCATCAATTTAAAAGACTAAATGAAAATTAGTAAACAGTCCGCAGGCTATTTGTGTTAATCCATGTTTGCCACAAGATAAGCCAGTGTTAAACCTGCATTGTTTGCAACACGCCGTAGGTGAAATTGTGTGCGAACCATGGAACATTAATTAGTTTTCGATAATCGACTGGAAAAACAATGGCTAACTGGCACTGAACTGGAAAGTGGTTGCAACTATGTATGTGCCAAGGGCATTGTCTGTGTGGCTCAACTTACGCACAGTACGCATGATGATATCGGGATCGGGAATCCGTATGTTTGCCAGCAAAGGCAGTACCTCATCCATGACCTATGCCAGAGAAAGGGAGAAGGAGAAATGATAAATGGGAGATTTCACAGGAGGAGAACGACTCACCTGTGCCCGCTCCATGCGGTCCATTACCCGCTCGATGCACATCAGCACATTCTGAACTATCTTTGGATCTGTAATGTTCTTCTCAAACACCAGTTTCACCTTGGGCAGAACCATGCGCCGGATGGAGAGCTCATCGATGCTATCAAATACATTGGCCACGGCCACGACGGCAGCACTCTAAGATTTTCGCACAGCAAAAATAGTTTATTTATTATCCTTTGCCTAATTATAATATAATTATAACTTGTTTTAAGGAATATGTTGTGTTATAAATAATAAGCTTTAGTTCTGTCCAGCAAGGCGATTTTTAATTAAAAAGTTATCTAGGATTATCTAATTTCAATGCTTTAGAAGAAAGCATGTGGTTTAAGAGTTTTATGTTTAAGAGCGCAAATACTTTTTCACTTTAAGAATCCTCAGCACCTAATTAATATTTACAAAAAAAAACCCCAAGAAGTCAGTTATTTCCTAATAAGTTAAAGTCTATTTCATACATTTCTTTTCCTGCCGCAGATGTTCCCATAAAATCATCTAGGAAATGCTCTCTCCTTTTAATGAGTGGTTAAATTTTCCATTTTTTATATTTATTGAATTTGAATTTCTCCCACTCCAATGAGTTCAAAATTGTGGAAAGAAAATGTAAATTTCACTTGCTCTGTCACTTTTATACTCTGAGTCAGCGTCTGAGTCGCAGTTAATTAAGAAATTGCTGCTGTAATTACACAATCAGCTCCGTCAACCCATTTCCATTTCCATTCGCATTCGCATTTCCATTTTCCTTCTCCTCCAGCTGACTGTCTGCCAGTCAGCCTGCAAGTCTCCGAGAGTCTGCTATGTCTAAGGTGATTTGCATATCCGAGTGGAGCACTCACCTGCACTTGTATCGTGGAACCGTCGAAGGAGCAGAACAACATTGGCATTATGTCCGTGGTGACATCCTCCGGCTTCGTCTTCTCGATAATCAAATGCAAATTCTCAAGTATCGTAACGCTGGCCTGAATGGATTTCGGTGTATTGTAGACGACTCTAAGTGAGATAGAGCAGAGATACATCGCAGATTTGATTAGAAACTTTTCTTGAGTTCATATATGTTCCAGAAGACACTAGTCAACATAAAGTAAAATAATATTGAACACTCAAAATGTTAAATATATCAACACTTTATTGTCCTATTAACCATTAATAACACATCTTCTTTTATGTATTTCTAGCTTCTTAAGTTAAATACAAAACTCCTCAATGTCTAGTGTTGCCGAAAATAAACGCACTATTCCAAGTTTCATTGTGTGGGCGCGCGTGTGAAAAGTTCTTTTGGGCCAAGTTCATTCTTTTTTTGGCCGGGTGTCAATAAGCGTCTTACAAGTGGCCACAAAGTTTGTCGTCAAGTTTCGGCAAAGTAGTGAACGCGAACCCGAGCGGGCTTTTGTGTGTCTCACTAATTTATGCACAGTTCCCACAAAAGGTGAGCACTCCTCCTGCCCACTTTCCCCAGGACATTTCTAGTTGAGGGAAAGTTCGCCAGTTGAGCTCTATAAATTACAATATGAACTGTCGCCCGGCTCACTGGGTGCAATAAAACGTCATGAAAATTGAATAACAGAAAAAGTGTCGCGAAAGTTTTTCAATTGTTCAAACACAAAGTTCGTATCGCCGTCAGAAGAGAATAGAGAAGGCAACGGAAGCTGAACAAAGACAGGATTGGCTACAACCGGACTTTTCTCTGGTAATGTAAATATATTTGGATAGAAGAAAAAACTTGTGGAGGAGGATGTTTCTATAATGTAGTTTAAGGAATTTAAATTATATCTGCTTCTGGTAATATATACTCCTCTAAAGTCCTAATGCCACACAGCTAGTTTTTAATATTAAATGAAGAGCTTGCCAACCTTTAAGTGCCCATTGTTACCTCTAATTCCTTGGCAAAGCATTCTATAAATACATCATCCAGCATCCCAAACCCATACTCACTTCATGGTGGTCGACATTAGGTTGTCGTACTCCGTGTGCGTGGCTTCCTGGACAAAGAGCATGACCGGCTGCAGGACCGCGGCAAGGACCTCGTTATTGTTGATCTCCGACTTGAGCATGGGCCAGATGTTCTGCCACCAGAGTTTCTGCAAGGCAAACACAAAAAATAACGAACACAAGGAATGCGGGGAAGTCATTAACCAGTCTATGTCATTTCAATTGCCAATGCTGAGCCCTCATTAACGGCATCGGACAATGGCATCCAAAAAAAAAGGAAATAAGATGGACTCCTTCCGCTCTCTGTTGCCACAAAAGGCAAGACAATGAGACAGAGGCATGTTACATTTTTGCAACTGTCATAAAACGGCTCGTAATTCACAAATTGTTTGGCCGTAAAGCGCACAACTTGGCGCCGTAAATGATTAATGCTCTGTCAGTTCGTTCGCCCGCAAAAACGAGATGTATAACCTCCCCCCCACCAAAAAGAAAAATTTGTCCAATGTGCTTGCATCCGTTTCCGGCGGAAGGAGCAGGTAGCACTTACACGTGGTATCAGCGGCATGGCTTCTATCAAGGTGGTCTTGTAGAACTGCGACTTCTGCTGCGTGTCCTTCATGTTGACAACGTCCAGGAATTTGAGGGCATTTATAGCCGGATCGCTGTGCAAAAGGGAAATATGGCAACATTAAGTCAATGGTATTCGATGGAATTGCGTTATTTTTTAAGGATGGTACACAGGAGAAAATAACTGTAAAAAAAAGAACTATAAATAAAGAATATATAATGTTTTTTATGTATGTATGTTCACTTTTATATAAAAAACAATAAGCTTTTTATGTCGGATTTCTTAAATATTATCCCAGTGCATGGCAGCTTAAATACCAAACCGTGTATAATCGCTTAAAGTGCTTAATTGCATATATTTTTTAAACGATTGTGGCTGGCTTAGTCGGTAAATGGCATCAATTAAACATTAAGCTTTAAAACAAACAACAAATGGAAACTGCCGCTGAAAAAACCCGCAAAAATTAGCTAAAGGCAATATTTATCTCAGTGCCACCAAAATTAAAATATTAAGTCCCCGCAGAGCTTTGGAGTGGCGGCGCCACAACTTTCTAAAATGGAATTGTAAATACTTTTCATTGTTATGTAAATCAAATTGTTGAAATTTAATTGCCAAAAAGTGTTTACTTTCGACCCGCATCCAGAACGCCCCCCTTTTGTTCTCCCCTGACGCCGCTCCGTCGTTATCTGGATGTGAACAGACGACGAGGACTGTGAAACTGTGAAATTTGCCACAAATGGAAAATAAATGTGACATTATTCGACGCTGCTTTAGTTTCGCTTAGTTAAACAATGAAACTAAATCACATCACGTATACGCCATGCTGGCCAGCGAGCTCTCTTGTCGACTTAATCAGCGGAATCGAGCAGAAATCATATTGCCAGCGAGTAACTGAAGGATGCCAAGGATAAAGGATAAAGGAGAAAAGTTAGCTTGCCACTGATTGCCAAGACACTCGAGCCATTTGCATACGCTGCTAAAAACGCGGAAAATGTTGACAACATTTAAATTAACTTCAAAGTGCTGCCACCAACCTGACTGACTAACTGACTGGAGACTGGCTAACAACGCTGAAGAGGGATGTTTAGCTGGTTGAGATGGAGATGTGGATGGAGATGGAGCTGCTGCCATGCCCGTGGTGTTTTTCCGCCAAAGCAAAAGGATCTGGGGGACAAAGTGAAGGAGGAGCACACTGTTGCTTTCCCTGTTGCTGCCGAGGCTGTCAGCGCACTTTGATGCGTAAATGGTAACAGGAAGTATATTCGTTTTATTCTAATTTCAACAAAGTCCAAGTAAGTCCTTGGTAGTTATTGAAATATTTATAATATCAAATACATAATTTTGTTTTTTTTTTTACTTTAGATAAATAGGAGCTAGACATTTATTGTGGTTTAGATTCTGAGAAAATGCATAACTTGATAGAGAATAAATGAATAAATAAATGCTACTTCTTACTTTACTTATCTTATTATTGTAGTAAGTGTCTTGACCATGATCACTCCATGAAATTGACCTTATGAAATACCAATTTCAATTCAATCCACAAGTCACCAGAGGCAGAGGCATTACCACACAATTGGCAACGTTTTGCGCTACTTTACATTCAATTCACCTATGGGGCATATACACATATACATATATTCTTGAGACGGTCTGCGGTATCCCTTAGCTGAGCCCCCCAATGGAATCGCTACCTTCTTCTGCAGGCATCCCCCTTCTACATCTTCGTCTTCCATCTTCCATTTTCCATCTTCATCTCAAGCTCAAGCTCCAGTGCCATCTCCATCTACATCACCACCACCATCCTTGGCTTTGTTTGTCTAAACGCGGCACGTTCCCATCCAGCACCCCGGGTCCCTGCCTGTCCCAGATCTCTCCGGGAGGCAGGCTAACAGCTGCTGTCGTCATAAATCCCAGAGTCAGCCAGCCAGGATGCTGCGAATGCTGGAGAGACTGTGGAGGCGGGCCCTGCAATGCCACTACCAGTGCCACTGCCACTCCAACTCAACTACCACAGCACAATCAGCTGAAAAGCAACGACTTTGTGCACAAAGGGAAAATATTTAAATTCAAAGATTTGTCACAAAATAGCTATAAAATATATACAGGAAACCTAGGGAGATATTCAAATAAAAAAAGGTCTGAAGTGCAAGCAATTAAAGCCTATATTTAAAGCGTTCTCGACATCTTTTTAAAAGTAAAACCTATGCACAACAAATTAAAATCCTCTCAATACATTGTATATTTAATTTATATACTTTCTCCCAGTGCACATCTCTCATTCGCTTTGCATTGTGTATGTCTTTCAGGTCTGATTACCGCTTTCATTTGGCAAACAGACGTAATTAAAGTGTGCGTGTGTTGGCTGAGGCAGCAAAGGTGGTGGCGGTGGCTGGTTGACTTGGCAAAAAAAAAAACAGAAAAGCAAAATATAAATGAAACCTTCAATTGAATTTCAGCTACAGGTACAAATTGGCTTAGAGATTGCGTGTCTGTGTCGCCGAGGGCAAGTTCTGGGTTTTGCTCTTAACAGGTGTCAATTTCATTTGAAACTCAAACAAAAACTTTCAGTGAAACTGCGCAAATTGCCACAGTTGCCAGAGCTTCCTGTTGCTTTGCGTCTTAGCCGAAGCTGGAACTGGAAGTTAATTAATTTGGCCACTCACATGAAGTACTTGATGAGCTGCAGGAGCTGGGCGGTGGGCCGGGCGGTTGCATCCCTACTGGCCATTCGGGAGGTGGCCTCCTGCAGGGCAATTGGCAGCCGGGGCATCAGCTTGTGGACCAGATCATCCAGCTAAGGAAGGGGACAGAGAGAGAGAGAGAGAGACGATTTTCAAAATTTCATAATTACACAGAAAAAAGTTTCGTATATATTGTCAAAATATTATATAATCAAGACAGTTCCTTGTAGACTCCAAATAAATTATTTAAAAATACTAAACCTTCTACAAAAGGGTTTTGTAATTTTTGGAATTTAAAATATATTATAACATCCTCTTAGGCACCTTTAAATTTAATTTGAAAACAGAATAGTCATACAAGAACAAATAATTTTGCTGAATACTTGTTTAATCTCTATATTAAAATGATTTTCAAGAATAAACTATAATTTTCTTTCACTGCACAACCGAAATAAACTTTGCCACAACATTAGAAACCACTTGAGGACTTTCGTAGCCAGTCCAATGCCCCAGACAGGACCAAGCAGGACTAAAAGTTTTAATGACAAGCGCCCGCGGGGCGCCAGCTACCGCTCCTCCTACCACTGCTCCTGCTCCTGCTACTGTTCCCGTTACTGCTCCGTCACCTGTCCGCACAAGTGGCAAAATAATTAGAGTTTCGAGTGGACTTTTTGATTACATTTGCATTTGACAAAGCTGCGAATCTAATTACAGCGCGCAAACAAGCCCATCCGAGCGTGGCTCAAAACTTTTCATCCATCCAATTGGCACTTGTCGCCGCCAGCTCGATACCCAGACTCATCTCGGTAACGTAGAAATTAGAAATTGTTTACTCACCGTTTCCAGTTGCTTGGCATAATTGGAGGTGGAGTTACCGGCCTGAATCAGTGGCCTTCCGCTGTTGTATACCGCACAGATCACCATTCCCAGCGAGAACATGTCGCTAAGCAGGCTGCACTTGGACGTTGACTGAGTTTCGGGAGCTAAATTAAATGAAATAATAATATAGAAAATATTTGCATATATCCTCAAGAAAAATATTGATCAATCACAATATATTTTCATGTATTAACTCACCCATAAAGTCCAGACTCGGCTGGGCCATCTTGGACACCCTGTTGCTCCACGGTGGACACGGAATTGAGCTATTCAAATCGTTCTCGTTCATTCTTTCTGCAATCCGAATATGAATACGAATTGCTGACTGGACCAATCCATTTCAATTTCATGCTAAGACACACTTACCCACATATTCCATCCCGGCCAGCTTCCAAATGCCGCGCTTTGTTATTAGTATAGAAGATGGACACACATTGCGATGAATTACGTGACCGGAATAGTGTAGATATGCCAGGGCCTCGGTTAGCTGCAAAACGTTAGCAAACAGGGTCAGGAGACGCTGGTCGTTGCTGGTCACCTGCCACTCACAACTCACCTGGAGAAAGCCATACTTTAGCTCCATGTCCAAGAAATTGTATTCCTTGGCATGGGCAGGTCGCTGGGGCAAAGTGTTGGCCGCCGCCTGAGCAGCCGCTTGAGCCTGGGCCGCCGCCGCTCCGCCCGTCGCCGGGGTCACATTGGCGCTCTCATAGGTCTTCGACTCCTGCAGAGGGGAAAATTTTGAAAATTTCTTTAATATATTATAATTTTTCTGATTAAAAAATTATACAAATTAAACACTTTCTTTACTATTTAATAAATATATCTTCTCTTAAGCTTTCATTTAAGTTTCCATTAAAGATAAATCCTATTAGGTGCCTTAAATGAGTCTATTATTTTTCCAGTGCACTTTTGCGGACAGGTAATAAAGAGTTAGGGCCTAATCTCAGACTGAGCTGGTCGGGTGGCCTTAAATTCGCTTCGCCCTCGGCTTCGGCTTGGATGGGTAGCTACTTTCAGCTGATGGCTTTAAAATTCCCATTCAGAGCATTGCATTTGATGATAAGCCATTCAAATCTCTCGTGTTTCTACTGTTTGCTGTTTGCTCTTGCCTGGCTTTTCTGTTTCCCCTCATAGTTTTTCCTTCTTTTTTCCCAATTTTTCGTTTGTTTTGTGAGGCAATTTACCTGGTTGTATATGATGCGTGCATGTGAGTGTATTTTTTCTGAGCTTTACCTTTTGCAATTTTCAATGTAATTTAACTCGAATCGACTTGCCTTGAAACTAAAAACTATTCAGTAGGTTTCCTTTCTTTTTTGTTATTGTTGAGCTGTTTCTGTGGGCATAAAGATTGCTGTTGTAAACAGAATTGATGCAGTGCGTTTCGGTAATGTAAATATATATATCAGAAGGAAACCTATTTTGGCACGGAAATATATGTTAAGTTTCTAACTATAAACGGTTTGTGATGAAAGTAGTTAGTTGACGAAATATATTAATGCAAATTCAATACTTGTCTATTAATTAGTATTATTTAATTACGACATTAAAGATTAATTTATTAAATAGTTTTCTAAGATGTTATATAAAAAGTAAGCTTGTAATATCTATAATATATTCAAGAGTCCTTATAACTTCAAGAGATTTAAAAACAATATTTTTGAGATTCTTTTTGACCTGTTAGTTACTTAAAAACTTTATACATTTATTTAACAGATTTATTAATCTAACTATAGTAAAAATTGTTCTATAATATTTTCATAATTTTCAAGTCTTGAGAACCATAAATCAAACTATTTTCAAATCATTTTTCAAGGTTTCTTGACCATTTTCAAGTGCCAAAATAATCTTATTCCATTTGTTGTTCCACATTTTGTCCTTAAACTCAACTTGCACAACTTATTCATTGCGAAACAACAATTAATTTGAGTTAAGCAACTATATTGCTGACATATCCTCGAATGCTTTTAGAGCTTAACCGAAAAACTAAAACTACATTTAAGTTGTGACACGCACTGTGTCCGTGTGTGCGTATCAATTTCTGAGCTGTGCTGCAGACCGACCGAAGCTCTTTATTGACTCAATCTTGGCAGCGTAAACTTTCCACCACACACACACACACCCAGACGCTTATGGCCTGGCTAACACAGACGCGCGTCGTGTAATTCGATTTAGTTGTGTGCGAGAGCTGCGTTTGTGCTGCTGCTGTTGCTGTGTGTTTCTGTCATGCATACCCAGTACTTGCCACGCCCACCGACCACCGACGGCCCCCATTGTGCCTGAAAGTCAAACTATGCACTTGGCTTGCCTGGAAAACTTTAACAAAACACTGAGGCAGCAGCAACAACAGAACAACAATCAACCCAACAATCTAAACATTGTTCCTCCATACCTGGGAAACACTAGATGGACCGGCAGTGGACATGGGATTGCACGGGAAAGAATTTAATCGAACTTAAAGCCATACAAATGTAGTGGTTAATAACATGAAATAATTTAATATACATTTAAGAAATATATTCAAAAATGGGAAGACTCCTGATCAGTATACAAAGCCAGAGACGCTCTTAATACACAATTTATATTTAACAAGAGATTTACAGAAATATCGAAACTTTTGTAATTATTAATTGTTGAATTAACTATAAATTTAATTATATATAACATATAAAATAAAGTATCAAATGAGGAACACTTCACAATACGAAGTTATTTGTTAAAAAGAATTAAGGCTGACAAATATTTAAAATATCTACCTTAAATAATTACTTGAGTTAAGCAGATCCTTTAGAATAATATTATCGAGAAAATAAAATATATAAATAATAAAATAATCAATAATTTAATAAAGAAAAGAAACTGAAATAAAATGAAATGTAAATTTCCTATGTTGGAGGCATAATTCATTACCAAACCCTTCTAATATTTTATTAATATAATTTCACTTATACCACTATTCAATTACCTAATTTTCTGTTCGTATTTAAACCTAATAAAAACTATAAAATACAAATTCACACCATTTAATTTCTTGCCGTGCTTTGATGGAAAAAGGGGTAGCATACAAAAAAAAAAAGAAAATAGGGCCGAACCAATATAGGACTGAAAGCCAACCAGGCGACAACACAAATTGCATGTCCATGTCGCTGTCAGCAAACTCAAACTCGCAACTGGCAACTGAAACTGGGAAAAGGGCACTGGGAATGTGGGAAGATGGGGGAAAGCTGGAAAACTAAGGCCAAAACTCACGTGAAAGGCCAGCACATTCGAGAGGCTGGCAAAGATGGGCTCCGAGGCAAAGGCCAGTGTGTCCGCACTCTCCTCGACCGTATGATAGATCTGCAGTATCTGCGGGCGAGAAGAGAAAACAGGGCGGGCGGGGGCTGTAGATTCATTGCTTTGGAAAAGTAATTATCGATTGAGGGAAGCACCGGGGGAGGTGTCTACAGGAGAGACAGGACATTCACTCACCCGCGGATGGCGAAAACGCTCCAGAGTTTTCACCGAACTCTTTAGCAGCTCCGTTATGGCTTCCTTGCGACGGGGCTTATGCAGTTTCTCTGCAATTTTCTTCTCGAATATAAACACTGAACATTCCTGCAAAATGACATTTGAAATGACATTTTAAATAAAAATAATTAAAAGAATAATGGGAAGAAAAAACAAGAAAAGAAAAGAATAATTTGCTGTTTTTGACATGCTCTTTAGGTGAACGTAATAAGTTCTATAATTAAAACACATTTAAAAATATAATTAGTAAAAGAAAATCTTGCTTTTCCGAATTTAACAACTCTATAAAATTCCTATAATTGACACTAACTTTTAGAATGTTTCTTCAGAATAAAAGAAATGCGCAATTTCCTTATTAACAATAATTATAGTATCAAACAAATAACTTAAGAGGAATTTTTGTTCCAGGAAAAGTAGTAGCAGACCAGGAAAAATTCCTCAACCATTTTCACTGGAAATATATAATACACGGATTCTGACCCCGCGGCTGGGTTCCTGAGTCCACTCACCCTGTTGTCACTCTTGCGGTAGGCATCGTGGATGCGCCACACCAACTCTGGGCCGGCACAGGCCACCGGCTTGCCTATTTCGAAGTACTGCGTGATGGGATTGCCCTCGGCCACATTCTGCATCGATGTGGAGGCGGCCACGTTGGTGCTCTTGAATTTGGCAAACATTGTGCCAGCGGGCATTCCGTCGATTAGCTTGGAGAAGACATTCGAGAAGCTGCCCTGTCGCTTTGGTCCCGGCACGGGCAGGGGTGCGCTACCTGCGATGCTGGGTGCAGAGCCACCTGCTGTCTCCCCGAGGGTGGCTCCCGTGGGTACTGATCCTCCTGCTGACGCTGCTGCTGCTGCTGTCCCAGAAACTGACGATGCGGATGATGATGGCGATGAGCCAATGAGTAATGCACCGCTGATAGAAAGCCGGCCACGACCAGGTAATTGTCCACCTGCTGTTAATCCCACGCTGGAGGCTGTGCCGCCCACTCCCACACCCGGGCCATTAAGGATGTCCTGTCGGTTGGGAATCACTGGGGCCTCGTACCCACCGAACCCATTGAATCCGGTGCGTTTGTGGAGAATGCCTGGCGATGGTGGCCCTGCTCCTGCTGCTCCTGTTCCTCCTACCACTCCCACTCCTCCGCCAACGGATACCTTGCGCTGCTGCAATCCAATATCGAGCACTGTGCTGGCGCTACGCTGCCTAATGGCCGCCGCTCCTGTTCCTGGTCCCACACCTGCCACGCCGACACCCGTTGCTCCCGCTCCCGCTCCCGCCACTGCTCCTCCGCCACCGCCTCCGCCACCGAATTGTTGCTGCTGGTGGTGGCCACTTCTGGCCGGTGAACCCACTGCCACCGCTGTCGCTGCCACCGCTCCTGATCCTGATCCTGCTCCGCCGGCCGCTCCTCCTGCCGCACCTGGTCCGCCCGGCGGCGTTATTCCCACAGCGCTGCCACTGCGACCGCGTTGCACCTCCTCGACACTATCCAAACGAGAGAAAATTCTGGCCGCCGTTGTTGCCGTCTTTGATGTCTAGAGAGCCGAGAGTAGCTGCTGTGCTGCGTCCTTCCTAGAATCCTAGAACTTCCTGCAATTAGAGGGGAGAGAGAGAGAGAGAGGCAGAGAGTTAGAAAAGAGTCGGAAAGTCAGAGGCGGTAGAGAAAATAAACGCAAAATTTCACTTTAATTGCGGCCACTTCACATTGCGCATACGCCCCGTTAGCCAGGCGACGGAGACCATCTCGACGCCTTGCCTGCCTTCATGGCTGCCCTTCTGCAATGGCAATTAATGCGCTTATTGCTCCGCTTGGCTTTTGTGCTCAATTTATACACTCATTAAGCCCAGGCAAAAGGAGCTCCACTCCAGCAGCAGTTTAAAATTGTTCTGCCTCCGTAGGTCCTAGCCAGCCGAGAGTTGGTTGCTCTGGGTTAATTCTGTTCAAGTGAGCGTTAGATGAAATTTATTTATAGCGCGACTGTGGCCAAAGTATTATGAATGGAAATTGCTAAAAGACCAGCATCTAATCTCTAATTAGCCAACATATAAATATGGCCATTACGCATAGTTATTTATACGCATATTTGAGCTGCGTTTTAAATGCATTTATGTGCATCAGTGAGATAATATTTTTCGCATTCAAAGCAAGTATAAATATTGCCAATCAATAATCAATTGAAAACAAATAAATTCGTGTGTGTTTCTAAATTTTAGCTAGAATTTGATGATTATATTTTAAATATATTTATTTTAATTAAAAGCTGCATACTGTTTGGTTTATTTTGGCTGCCCACTCAGGCAATTTCTATGTAATTGAAAGCAAATAACAAATGCCAAATCTCTGCTCCAATTAAGAGTTTTATGATTTTTATAAACAAGAAGTTATATTCAATGATAAGCTTATACATATAAGCTGATTTAAGCAGAGAATAATATCTTAATGCACTTAAATTGAAAGATATAAATAAATAAAGACTAAGACTTATGCTTTCCCCGGGTTACCCTTTATTTTTTAATAAAATTTAAGGACATTCAAGTCTCGGTTATGGCTGCTTCTGGCTTTCTTTTTTGGCCTCTTCACACAAAACTGCACAATTAAAAAGTTAAATGAGTTTGGCCCCGGCCATTCATTGTGGCTGAATATGTATAAGGGACTACCCCTGGCCCCCGTGTGATTTTTCGCGGCCACGTTTTCTGTAGGTTTATGAAAATGCGCTCAACACATGAGCTGCTCTCTTTTATTAATTTCTGAAAATAACCACAGCTCAGGGGAATCCCAGAATTCGTTGCATGAGGTATAGCAAATTTCGCAATTGCTTAAATGGAAACCTAATGCAATTTGACTTGCCAAACATGTGTCAAAGTGCCTGGCATGTCTGTCGCATTCCGGCTGCACTCGCTGCTCTACTCCGTCAGGACTTTTCTGGGACTTTGCCAGGACTTTACCTCCTGTGGGAGAGGGGCGGGGTGCAGGGGAGCCTTCTGTCTGCTCTTCTTCTCGACGGTGTACATTCTTTGCAGACTGAATTATTCAATGCAAGTAAACATTTTGGCAGGATGCTCAGAGCAGCTGTCTGAAAGCCAGAGGGAAGCCAACAAATTGACTTGAGACATCTTACTGTGGCGCAGGTCCTGCGGCCCAAAACGAGGCAACATAAATTTCCAGCAAACGTAAAACTATTTAGTGAAAAACATTTACCCGGCTCTCTCTCTCTCCCGCTTTTGGCTTCTCTGCAACGTAGCGTGAAATTTTTTCGTTAAATAAATTGTGCTGATGGTAAATAAATAAAATATGAGAGCTCAGTAGAGCCGGGGTCGTATTGTGTGCTTAACGCTCCGAGTATCTATAGAACAAACTGCCCAAGGATTCACGGGACAGAACGAAGGAATGGCGACACCGGACACGGACCGATGATGGCTGACAGATAGACGGAGCAAGGGCGGAATGGAAGGAGGGTCTGAGGAACTGAGGAACGGATGGAGGACAAGAGGAGGACAAAGTCCGGCGGAAGACGATTGGTGGCTGGTTCAACGGAGGCAACTTTCTAGGTCAGCATTTTACAATTGAGAGCAAACAAGCTTAAATATTTAAGGCGGTTTAGCGTGGCGAATGGATGCGGTTTGCTTTTACGGCATTTTATTTGTAATCTGCCAGCACTCGGAATTTGCAGTGGGAATTTTTTAGTAGTTCCCGGAACAAAAAAAAATTCGAAACAAATTTATAGCAAGAGGCATTTTTTCACTGGGTATATTTTTATTTTATCGGTTTGGTAGTTGGCTTTTTATTTTTTTCTTTTCTTTAATACACATACAAGTCTTTTAATATTTTATTCTTAGTTGAATTTACCAGCTTTCTACCAGGCATATTAAAAAGTACCTTCCAAAATAAACATAAAGTAAGAGAACTGTGAGACATTTGAATTCCATCTCCTGTCCTATTTAAAAGTCCCTCTTTTTATTCTCAGAATCAATTATTTAAAAGGCAATCATAAACGGTAATTAAAGAGCAAACAAATAACATTCACAAATTGGCTCTGCAGGAAAGATATTTTTATTTGTAACAGGTAAATTCAGCCCTGTATATATACATACATATTTTCCTATTCTATTCGTTTGTATTATTCCAGGAATAAATTGCATAAGAAAAGTTAAGTTAGGAAATAATGGAAAAATTGTCATTAGATTAATTTAAAAACTCATTGAATTTTTAACATTTTTACTACATTATTTGAAAAGCAATTTTTCTGAGGTACCCCAAACGTTATATTACTTGGTTTTCTCACATCAGAATTATTTATGCGCACGTCAATTACTTATTAAAATTACCCCGTAAACAACGGCGACAATTAAGTTGAAATGCATAAAATATGCGTTGAGTATATATATACTTTTGTCATTTATTTATGGATTACAAAACTCAGCGAAGCATTAAATTCAAACCAAATCAATTTAATTAAAACTTCAGCCGTTGTAATAAATCAAATCAATATACCTACGCTATGCGGGCATCATGAATAAAATTAATTTAATTTATTCGAATTGCACACAGTATACACCCATTAAATATGCAGGCTAATAAAATCTGAGTAGCGGCTAATATAATAATTTTGTTTGAACAAGAAATGCAATATTTTCTCGCTTTAATCTGCTTTTAATGTGGTAGTTAATGTCATCTAATCCATTGATCGGCCATCGGTTTTCTAATAAATGTCATGGCTTCGATTTGAATTTTCCAAATGCGATGAAAGGGGGGAGTGCGGTGTAGGAGTCGGAAAATTGGGGCAGTGAAAAGCCGTTAATGCGAAAGACTCGTGGCCCGGACACGTGGACTCTCGCCGGCTTTATTGATTTCGACATGGGCACGAACCGAGCTCGGACTGAGGCAGCCAAAATTAAATGATAAAAGCGAAGCGTAAACACACACAGCTCCTGAAACTCTGGGAATTATTTTTGGCAACCAGAGAAAGAGAGAGAGAAGGCTAAATAAAGAGAGAGCAAGATGGATAGAATTTCCTGTGTTATATTTGACAATTTCAGACATATAAAGGCATACAAAATAAGTCTGTATGCACTAAGGGAAAGAAAATCATTCCCTAAATGGGATTACTCCTATAAAACTTATTTCTGAGAGTTAAATTAAAGTTTTCCCAGAGAGTCAGAACTAAACATAAAGAATATATACTAAATGTTTAATTAAAGTTAAAACCTAGCTCAAAAATATATTCTTTAAAGACAAGTTTAACCTTATTTTTAGTCCCTTTCATTGCCCATAAATCTACTTTAAATTGTAGAGATTTATAGGCACACCCTTTAGGCCACTTTTCTCTTCGTGTATTTGTGTATTTAACGTCCTCTGAGTTAAATATTTTTAGCCGAAAGTCAGACGAAGATGGCCGTAAAGCGCACAACAAAACAGGCAACAAGCGGCCGAAGGAGCAACAACATGTTGCCAACTCAAGCGCTGATTGAAGACAAACACAAACACACACACACAGCACGCACAGGGGGCCAAAACAAACGATGGCAGACGCTCACGCACACAGATGTCTCAATTAGAAAAAAACAGATATGATGGTCCTTTAGCCGCACCAACACATATGCACTGCCAGTGCCACAGACACAGTCACAGTCACATGCGGCGAGCGGCCGAAGGATAGCAAAAATGTGTCAGTTAAGGCAACTGTGGCCCATCTTTTGTTTGCTTTTGCCTCATTTATTGTTCGCCTGCCAGCCAGGGACAAAGGCCGTAAACAGAGAAAGAAAATAAGGACAATGCAAGGATAGTTTGGTTAACAAAAAGGTACAAAAAAATAAGTACAATGATTGATCCTTAAACTACGTTATGTTTAGTAAAAGGTGTCAAGGTAGAAAGCTGGAGTAAAGATGTGTTAATTGATAAATAACTAACAATATAATATTATTGTAAGCTGCTTTCAAAAAGTTAACAACGTTTAGTAAAGTTTATTTTTATTTTTCCCAAGTGTAGCAAACTTTCATATTTCCTTGGCAACTGGTGGTGCGGATGCTTCGTTGTGTGGCAACCAGGAGCTGTGGCTTCTGGTGCAACTCATCTACATTTGCTTCGTTTCTGGCCCGGGGCAGCAGTGGCAGGAATATTCATTGCATACTCTCGGACAATTTCCATTCGTATTCGCATTCCTTTACGACTAACTGGAACTACTGCGGCTGCATCTGCCGCATGGATAATTACCTTCTCCCTCTCAAAGGAGAGCCTGGCAGTAATAATTTGGAGGCCACTGAGAGACAACTCTGTAACTTGCTCAAAAAGTGTCAATATTACTTGACTTTCAAGGCAAAATATACACAAATTCAATACAAATAGTTTAGGGAAATCTTTAAGTAATTACAAGCTCCTTATTTACTTTTCCCTTTTCGAAATAGGTTATTGGCCGCATTCACTCTATGGTCGGAGGACCAGAGTTCAATATACGGTCGGACAGAGCTCATCCCCCCGTTGGCATTGCGTCCTCGAGCGTAGGGCGCAATATTTGCATATTACGTATACGACATGTGAACGTGCCCAGGGAGCTGCTGCTGCTGCTACTGCTGTCACTGAGGCATTAAGGCTCCCTAATTAAATCTTTTACGTAATTTGTTTAGTTGTCCTCGGCAGTATCCACTTGAAAATTGAATGGAATTGAGTGTGACAGCGATGCGGGGGCTGGGGTAGCGTTGGATTATGGACAAACAAAAGCTGTTTAAGCATTTGCTTAAGTGTTGCAGACGGGCGTTCATAATTGAATTGTGGCTAAATGCTAACAACTGCAGCGCCCAGTAAGAGCAACACAATCGTGGCATAATTATGGAAGAGACTGTAAACTGTTTTCGCCGACCGACGAAACGAAGTTACGGGCCCACAAGGAAACCTAATTACAGGCCTGGGAATCTGTGATAGATACTTCTATGAAAACAGGCGAGGAGACTTAGTGAATTCCAAAGAAAGGGCAATTAGTTCTCGGGGCAAGAGTTGGTCCTCTTCGAGTGTTTTTGTTATTCTTATGCGTCCGTGAGCACAATATGTTGCCATGTTTGGCTGGGCGGATTAATTGCCAGGCCAATATGCGTCAAAGTCAGGCCTCAGTGCCCCTCGTGCGTTAATATGTTTGTTCGCCAAAGAGCCGAGAACAACAGCCGTCTCCTGCGGCCTCTCCTGTTGCTCCTTCTCCCGTTCCTGCTGCGAGTAATCAGTTTTCAATAGAGCGAGCATCTCGAAACGGATATTTAACAGCTTAAGCAGCGGCAACAGTCGTGTTTACAAGGCAAGGATACATATATGCATTAAGCAGAAATCCAGAAAATCCAATTTTATTGCTTATTAGTGCTCACGCCATATGAATTTTAATTTGCCAGCATCACAGATGACATTTGATATAAATGTAGCGGATATTAATTACAAATTAAGAAGTATATCTGTTTTTAAAGAGAGGTGTAGCTCCTGGAAGTATTTCAAGGATTTTCTGAATTATGTATTAAAACAATGAATGCCAAGACTCCAAAAAATAAATAAATAAAAATATTATTAGTTATCCCTGTAGTTATTGTTTTTATTATTACTTACTTGTTCTAAACTTCTATTTAAATCCCTATAAATGAAAAAGGAAAACAGGTCCCTTGGCTTTTTCTCATAGTTTCATAGTTTGAGTTCCTGATTTTTAAATTGACCACACTTTTCCCATTTGGCTAGAAAACCAAATATGCCTCTTGCTTTCTGCAAGTTCCCCAAATATTTTACGAGATGTGATTTTTGCCTGCCCACACCGCTGACAAGGCATCCTAATTAAAATTGTGACCACAGGACGACCAAGGCACAGACCAGAGTCAATGGCAAATATTTTGCTAAAAATTCAATGCGCAATGATGATGCATTTCAGTTTGTGCCAGGCGACAATGAATTGCAAATTGCCATAGTGCCAAATTTTGGCAAATAAATTCTCTGGCAATCGAATTGCAATGCCGTTCGATAGAGAGTGTGTACGAAGAACTAATCGAGC